GAGACATCCAAAAAGACCATCCCTGCTTGGCTTTTCAGATTTCTGGGCAGTTCCTTCTCTCATCAGAGCATGTTTGATGGGGACACAAAGGGGTCTTTAGGAGGTATGTTCCAAAAATCCGGGACTCTCTGCCAAGGGAGACTCCTCTGATCCCTTTTCTTGTGGTATCCTGCTAGCAGTAAAGATGTTTTCATTCAGGTGGGCCTTTGGCATGTACTTTGGTCTCTTGCTGATGAAGTATTTAATTGGTCAAGTGCTATTTATTTTTATGGTTGAAGTTTAATTGTATTCTTCATTTGCTTTTATGTTATGTCTTATTTATATGTTTTTAGATAATTTGTATGTTATCATTAGCAGCTTTGAGGACCATCTGTGAGAAAAAAGCTATAAATAAAAAGGAATAGGGTTCCTATTTACATCAACCCAAGGCAATATTTACACCAGCTGCTAGTTGGACTTTTGTTATTAATATTTTTCATATTAATTGCAACATTAATTCAAAAGATACAGTAACAATATTCTGGTTTTGGTACCTGTAGCAAAGAACTGAATTAATTCATCTGAGACCTGTTGTTTTGAATAATTTCTATTAAGTCTACTATCAGCGTTCAATACCGTGTGAATGAAAATGTGCCTGAACTTAGAAGTGATGAACTTTTATACTTGGGAATTACAAGGTATGAGTTCATAGGTATGAGTGCTGCAGAGCATGACCATACATGTTGAAAGAATAGGATGATTCATCATTTTTAATCAAAGCCGTGGGACCCTAGTGCAGGTGCAGGCAATTTGTGACCCTCCTGAAGTTATGGCCTACAATTCCCATGATCCATCACCATTCACTATGCTGTCTAGGAGTGACAGGAGCCATAGTCCTCTAATGCTTTTGCTTACAAGTTGCCCATTCCTGCTCCATTGGATCGTAATTAACTGAACTCTTGAATTGTATGGTACTTCTTAATCACTGTGACATTGGCCTGTGGTCACACAGGACACCTTTACATATGCTGAACAAAGTAAATCTTAAAACAAATGTCCTAAGTAGTAGAAGATGATTTGCAATGATTAACATTTCAGAGGGCATCCTAATCTTGGATGGTGTTTGGTAAATAGCAAAAGAGAGGAGAAGAACATTTGAATGGGGAAATGTTCATTTGAAAGTCTCTTCCACCACACCAGCAGGGGATAGGAGGCCTAAAGCTGCAATTAGGCAATTTGCTCCTCCTTGCCCTATCCCTTACCTGTTAACAATATTAATTGCTAACTCATTGTTCCCTAGCAAAATGGAAGGGTAAGGGAGGGTCATTAGCTTCCCAGAGCTATTTCCAGATGGAATAGGTAGGTTTTGAAAGCCTTATTATTATTTTTTCCTTAAAAATGGCTAGGCATGAGCTGCTTGTCCAACTTTATACACTGTATGCTGATGGGAAAGTGCAAGCACCAGTTCCTAAAGTGCCCCACCAGGTCACTGGAGTGCTTTGAAATCTCTTGCTTCCTTTCAAAAACTGGTTGTCTCAGCCCCACATAGTTCTTTGAACTAGAAAGCATGTTTGCAAACATTGATTATACTGCTAGGTAATCACAATTTGGTTTGCTAAGAAAGGACAAACCATGGCTAAGGAAACCTAGGGGGACACTAACCCCCCCCCCCAAATCCATACCACCACCATCTCAGAAATAAGAAGTGGTCCTAGTTTGTACCCTAAGATCCATCAGGTGCAAAATCATGAACAATTACTATAGCATAGTTACAATTTAACAAACTTTAACTGTGTCTTACTATATGAAATCAGATGACTCAATAATGCTTATGGAATAAATTTATCCTACTTTTCAATGATTATTTGTGGGGATTCTTTTCTACATTAACAATTAGAATTATGTGTTGTGCCTGAGAAGGGCCCCTTTAATTGGCATATTGTAAAAGAACTATTAGTGGAGAGCACTGGCACCATATTATGAACATCAGGACTTTTTAAGGATTTTTGGTAAGTCTACCCTGATCAAAATGGCCTTGATTTGTCATGTCAGGATAAAATATCAAGCTAAATATAGATATTGCATGACCTTTCGCAGATCACCTGAATGGAGCTTCAACCACAGGCTGAGAATCACTTGCCAATTTTGCCAGAGTTCTGGGAGATGAGAGTTCTTTCCAAAGCTGCTACACATTTCACCCTCCAAGGAAGCCTTGGTTTTCCATGCACAAAACACAAATCCTCACAACCTCAGGCTGTGAGTTCAGGGCTGAAATCCCATGTATATTTACCTGAACAGTAAGTTTGTTCAGTTCAGGGGTACTTACTTCTGAGCAGATAAACATTGGATTGTAAGTTTGCAGTCCTATGCATGCTTGCCTTGAAGGAAACCCAATATACAAAGGATTAGACTGTCAAGGAGATCTAAATTGGAAATATTGTGAAATGTCAGAATAATTCCTGGTTATCTAATCCAAAACAGTATTGTTTTGAGAATGTGCATGTTGTCTGCTTTTTCTAGAATTTAAAATTGGGATTTTATATTTATTTTAAATATAAAATATGTATTTTTCTGAATCTTTAAAGGTTTAAAATGTCAATCCATAGAGTATGAAAAGAGGAAAGATGAGCTATGCTTTCAAAAGCCAGAACTTGTTCATGGTAAAAAAAAATATTTAATTCATTTACTCTTTCCCAAACCATGCAGACATCCATATTTTTAAAAACTGTGAAGTTGAGGAAATTCTTGGTCAGAAAAAGCAATGAAAAATGCCCTGGGGTATTTAATTTTAATTCTGTAAGAAAGGACAGTAGTTGTATTTATTGAGGATATGATAGGATAAGATATACTAGAATACACATTTTAAGCTGCATCATTATACCCATGCTGACTGGGGAATTGTACAATGGGAATTGTAGTCTAATACATCTGGATAGGGAAGAGTAGATGTGAGAAAAGTTCCTTTGGACTTACTTCTCAGTAGACACTCATAGGCCCTTCCAGTGGAAGCTTTGCAACCGGTTATTATGTTAGGGTTGCTACTACGGTTAGGGAGGAGTTGAGGAACTTTGGTGCTTCTCGTCCATCTGCCGAGATAATGTGCCTGGCTTCTTGGGGTATTATGCACTCGAAGAATTGCATATTAGGTGGTAGGGGCACCATCTGCTGCTCTCCATCAGCAGTTAATGATCCCATCCTGTGCTGGCTGGCGAATCATGGGAATTGTAAAGGATTTTTTCCTTTCTAAATAAGCATAGGGGTGTGCTGGAGCCGGGGGTCAGACTAGATGGCACGGAAGACCCCTTCTGACTCACTCTGTTTCTATGTCTTGGGCTGGCCTTGGATACAGGGGAATTCTAGCTTTCCAAAAGCAATCTAGGAAGGAGCACAATTTCTATGTACAGAGAATACATGTGTATAGGAAAGGCACTGTTTTATTTATGTATTATTAAAAGCATTTCTGTCCTGCAGTACACCAGAGTCTCAGGATGGAGGTACAAGAATAAAGCAGAGCATCAAGAACAAATACCAAATAAAAACCCATTTTTAAAACAATGTCAGATCTTAAAATATTGGGAAAATAAAAACGGTTTGTTTACATAATTGAGCTTGTGCAGCATTATTTTGCTCTCATATAGCTAAATGTATAGCCATAATTACTCACACAGTGATGGGACGGAAGACTGAGGCTTTCAAGAGGTATAATATGTGTTGTACATTGTTCACTTGAGACATTTGCTTCATGCATGCCTGTACTGTCCTTCTGCCAAGGCACTCATAGCAGGTGACCACTGTTAAATACTGAAGCAAACAAGCATTGCCAGAAACAGACAGAAGCATCAGAACACCATCCTCACAGGCCAAGGGAAGGTCCTCAAAGGAACTGATGGCACAAATTGCCAGCCTAGTTTTCTCCTCTCTGTTTTCCTTCAGAAGGGAAGGCTGCTCTCAGTGCCAGCTCCACATTTTGGCAGCACCCTGAACAAGGCACCCTAGATGCCCCCTCCCTCAGTCTGCTGTTGGGCCTCCTCTCAGTCACCCTGGCCACTGGTTGCTGGCATGGCAGGCAGAGAGCCAGCGAGTGGCTTCCTCTGCTCCCCCTTCGTGGGGCCACCATGGGCTAGGCCAGAGCAAGAGGAGGGTGCCCAGGCAGCTTGCAGTGGGAGGGAGCTTTTGGAGGCACATGAGCCCTCAGCAGGTGCTCACCTGATCTAACTTTGATGTAGGCCCTGGCTATAATCCCCTACATAGTTCCCTGGGAGTAATCCCCATTGAATTTACTTCTGAGTAGACATGTATAGGAGTCTACACACGCTTCAAGGGTGAGGATGTAAAGAGTGTGTCTGAAGCTTACAGCAGAACTGCAGATAGAACACTTCAGAAGGTCCCAACACGAAGCAACCTGGTCGTCTGGATCATCATTCACCCCAAGGGGAAGAAGTGGAAGCCACCCTTCTTGCTCTACTAATCGTATATCCGTTGCAGTAGTAGCAGTCCTTCACCGTGGAATGAGGCGCATTGAACTCGGAGTAGACGTGCATAGGACTGAGCTCTGGGAACGTGTTTCATTGTCCCCCTTCACCCTATTGCAGGAAGGGGAGGGGCACGGCTGCAGTCTTGAAGCTGAACAGGCGTTTCCAGCCCTTCTGCTCTTCACGTGTTGGATGGGCAGGCAGATAATAATAATAGTAATAATAATACACCGAAGGAAGGGGCCAGTGGCACGAAGCTAGAGCCCCTTTCTTGCAGTCGCAGCCCCCTTCTCTTGTCAAGCCTGGATCCTCCTCCTCCCCACGCCCACCCCCGGCGGAGAATCCCCTTCTTTCTGGACGAGCATCTCCGAAGTCGCCGCTAGTAGCATCCGAGGGAGACCCTCCCGCTGCCTCTTATGGACAGCCGCCTCCCGCGGGGATCACGCAGCGCCGCGCCTTCCAAGGAGCAGTGCTGCCTCTCACCTGGCCGCGCATTTGCCAGCAACCCTGGGCCACCATCGCAGGTCCGCCCCGAGCTCGAAGTGGGGAATGCCGGACTGTCAGGAGAGCGGGGCCAAAGGAGCCCCCATCCACCCGAAAATCTCCTTCTCCATCTTGGACATCCTGGATCCTCAGAAATTTACCAGGAAAAGCAACCCAGCGACAGGGCGAAGGGAGAACATCGCGCCTGCGGGACAGCGGGAGAAAAGTTTGGGAAGAGTTGAACTAGAGAGGATTCCGAGCAGCAAGGGGAATAAACTAGAGGCGTATCATGGTAGGCGATGCCTTGTTTTGCTTAATGCTTTTAAAAAATCTGGTTCGCGAGGTTTTGGTGCCATTCATTTCAACCCCCACCCTCCTGGTTGATTGATTAATGAGAATCAATAAACAATGCTTCTGTCTGCCTGCCTGCCTGCCTGCCTGCCTGTCTCTGCCTTGTGACACCTTAAAAAGTGAGCATACACTTTCGTGGACTAGATTTGTCTTCTTTTTCTTCTTAATTGGGCGGCCCCCATCACAGCCCCTGGTCAGGTTGCGATCCAGGGCCTTTTAGGCGCCGCTGAGGACCACCGCGGGGTTCCTGCGATTGTTGAGTCCAGTGCGCTCGGTGTCGCTGATGGGTGTCGCTCGGCACTCCGCAACTGGACCTTGCGGAGTGCAGCCCGGGGCGACTGAACCGGAACGCAGAAGGATGTAAGAAGCAGTTCGCCGGGTTTGCCTGAATGAAAACTTCACGGCACAGCAAAACTTTAAATGCGCTAGTCAGTTTCTTAACAAAGGGTGTGCGTGGGCTGGGGAAGACGCAGGGATCTGACAGTTCTGCTCCACCTTGGTGGTTGTCTCGGGATTCCTTTGCTTTAACAGTGGCATGTCAGGTGGAAATTCAGCAGGGAAGCCGAATTTCCTCCAGACGGGCAGCAGTTAAAGGCACAGGAGCCTAGTCAGAAAACAAACCATCCTCACCGTGCTTAACAACGATGATGTCAGCAATCCTACTTGCTAATGGAGAAAGGGATGTTGTCCTTTACTCTCCAAGGGAGGAGCCCTTTCATTCAAACAGGTTCCGAGGCTGCACGCGAAGTCTAAAACAAGCCCCGCCTGGAAGCTAAACCGCTCCGCTTTGGGGCCCTGGCTTTGAGCCGACCCGCTGGCGAATATCGCCGGCAAGCCGCTCCTCAGACAAGCTGTTCCCGCCCGGAGCGAGAGCCGCCGCTGGGACTGCTGAGCAGGTCCCGGCGCCTGACTGGGTTGGTTCCCCTTTAAGAAGTTGCGGCGGCGCGGCGAGCGGTCCCCCTGGCGGAGCGTTGGCTGAGCTCGCAGCGGCCCGGGCCTGGCGGGGAAGCGCCGGCGATTGTTTTCGGCTCGGCCTTGTCGGATGGCCCTGATTGGCACCGGGACGCGCCAGGCAAAGGACAAGCTAGATAATTGTTCCTGCGGTCTCCCCACGAGAGGATGCCTTCGCTCCCCCTTGATCGATATCCTATTACCGGCTCCCGCGTATCTCCTTCCCACAGCTTGCAGGTACCAACTTCAAATCGCTCCCCCCCCCGTCTGATCCTAATATTGATCGATTAAAACTTACCTTTAATAGATGACATCTATCGATCCGGCCCTTCACAAATCTGAAACTCTATTAGTACGGCAGCGAAAGAGAAGATGGAAAAGAACGGGGGCGGGGGGGAGGGGGGAGAAAATAAGAGAGATGTACTTCTCTTTACTTCCCACAAAAGGAAAAAAAGGAATAAGTTTCTTTTAGTAACCTTTTTAACACGTAAAACACACGCACACAAGCCCGTTATCTGCCCCCACTTTCCTCAAATTAGTTTTTCCAGTTCTCAGAATGGTAATTCTGTTGGAAAGTGCTGCCTAGACGCGAAGGCAGGAGTTTTGATGGGACAACAAGTTTCCAATAAGTAAAAAATCCCCTCCCAATTTTTCATTCATTTATGGCTGGGGCACCTTCGGTAGGAATAACGACATATTACGCTTTGTCATCGTATTTGCACAACCTTATTTGTAGACGCGCTTATTCTACTTAAACAAAACAGATCCTATAGCTATCTGGAGTAGCACAAAAGCGAATTTTATAGTGGGGGAGCTTCCTGCCACTTGTTCGATTTCTGCCCTTAAAGATAACGTCTCTTTCAGTTGAATGTTTCTATTTCTTTCTGTGTTGCAAGTCAGATTTTTGATGAAGTTAATGTCCAAGTGAGTGTTTCAAGGATTCCAGCTTTTTTTAAAAAGTTCCTTATCATTTTTATTGAAAGATGTAATTTCTGTGTTATGAATCAGTTATGATTTCTGTGTAAAGAGCGTCTCTCCTTCAAGTACCTAGCTGAGTCTCGGGTAAAGGCATTCTGCGTATGCTCAAAAGGACTGGTTTTGCCTATTAAATACTAATACATTATACTAATACTAAATACTAATACATTCTTGCCTACTAAACTTCTGACTCTTTGTGCATCTCTCTCTTTTAATAACTTTATACGTTCTGGGCTAAATTCCTCCGAGTCCGACGTAAGGAAGGTGCTGGCGGGGGGGCGGGTTATGGAGGGGCTGAATAGAGAGCAGCCTGCTTAAGCGCCCGCCCACATATAGGCAGAGTGGTACAGATGTACTTGGCGAGGATCCGCTTCCGGGGCTGGAAGGACTTAGGCGAGTCAGTCGCGACTGGGCGGTGCACGCGTTCGGGCAAGGCAGCTGGTGTCATTGCATCTCCCTGATCAGCGCCGTTGTGTGTTCCGTAGATGCGGACGCCAGCCGCGGAGAGAGCCCGGCGGCCACCCTGGAGGCCTTGGAACAAGAGCCACGCGATCGGGACAGGAGCTGCTTAACCACCGGGCCCGGCTCTGCACTCCACTCGCCCGGCGACTTCCCTCCCTGCTCGCCATCGGATCTGGATGAGCCCGGCTCGCCGCTGTCAGCCAGGCGTCGCCGAACCGAATCCAGTTGCGCGAAGCCTCGCCGGGCCCGGACGGCTTTTACGTACGAGCAGCTTGTGGCGCTGGAGAACAAGTTCAGGGCCACACGGTACCTGTCGGTGTGCGAGCGCCTCAACCTGGCCCTGTCGCTCAGCTTATCCGAGACGCAGGTCAAAATCTGGTTCCAGAATCGAAGGACCAAGTGGAAGAAGCAAAACCCCAGCGTTGACGGCTCGGGGCAGCCAGGAAACAACCCGATGCCCACGGGTGGTGGAGGAGGGGGCAGTGGCAACAGTAACAGCCCTAGTCCGCCGGGCCCCAGTGCCTTGCCCTACCAGACTTTCCCATCGTACGCACCTGCCAGTGTCCTCTTTCCAGCATCTGCTCCCCTTCCCTTGACAGGAGGGGGATCCTTTCCTTCTTTCCTGAGCCCTACATATCTGGCCCCATTTTATACCCCTCACCTATAAAAGGATCCTATTATCTGAAGGGCTTCCAGAGGTTTCTGCCCAGACATGAATGGAGATGAGCAAACCCAGCTGTTTAAATAAGGAAAGCGAAATCCAGTTCTAGAAAGCATCTCTTCACTTTGTCCTCTGCGCATAAATGGTTTGTTTTCCTCAGATCTTGTAAAGAGCATGCCCTCAAATCAACCACCCTGTGATCACCATTAGCTACTTACAGGTGCTTTTTTGAGTCTCTTTAGGTGGGACATGAGTATGGGGTGGGGGGGAACCAGCCCCCAGCTTTTCCATTTCATGAGCAAAAGCAAAACTTCATAATGTAATTTAAGTTTGTGAAGCCCATTTGAAAGCAAGAGTGACTTTCAGTGCAAGAATATGGATTAAACCCCCCATAAAGCAGGTGTGCAGTATTTGATATTTATGTAATTGCTTCTCAATAGCATATGCAAGAAGGCAGAAATATGGATTTAGCAGTCAGAAGAGCAGCAAAAGCTGGTTTTCTTCCTCCTGCTCCTCTTTCTCCCCTATATAATCTGTTCCTTTTAGGCGCCTGGTGATGCACTGAACCGGTGTAACTCCATGCCCACTCTTGTTAGATAGGCTAGAGGTTGATGGGCAAGAACATAGTACTGGAACCTATGCTGCATGACCTGCTCTGACCATTGAATTCACTTCTAGACAGAAATACAGAATGTGTGTAATAGTGGATTATGCAAACTGTAGATTGGAAATGGAGACAGTATTTTAATAAAATGTGTGTTGTACTATACTGTCTTGTATTTTAAAGCAGCCAGTCTTCTGTGGTGGGTCTGCAACCACTAGAGGGCAGCATCAACCTCATGGAGGGCTCTATTAAATCCTAGGTCGAAAACGCCAATCCTATGAGGTTTTATTCACAGGTTTAAGTATCTCTGTGTCCAGTGGATGTCATTCCCTGATAAGTGTGCACCAGAGCCATTGTTAAGTGTGCAACAGACTGTATCCCCAGCTAAAGGACGGGTCTTGCATCAGTGCAATTATCTGAAGATACATCTTTATTTGGATACAAAGCCAGGTGCTCGCTTGTTGAAGAGTGTCACTCTGCTTATGGCCAAATGTTTGATCTGGCAGAGGTTCCTATCCACAGAAAAGGAAGAAGTCCCTCCTACTACCATACTTTCTTTGCTGCTTTGAACATTCACCTGGCTCCCTGGAGTAGATGCAGTGCTGTGAGGGAGTGGGAGCATAGCTGAAAAATATTGCTTTCCGGTTTTGCTGGTGGAAGCCTCTGCTGAATCCATGGATTCAGTTGAAGAAAACCAATATTTCATATATGCAAATAGCCCTGATCTTTGGTGCAAAACCAGCTTCAAATAAACAACTAGTTACTGTTGGTGTTGTACCAACTCCCATTGAAAAGGAATGTCCACAGCTAAAGAAAGGAAAAAAACACCTGATGTACGTCTTTAATTCACCATTCCTTTTGCACTTCTCTGTCCTATTGGGGAGAATTAAGGGTTGAACTAAGGGATATAGCAATCAGTTTGTATTGTATTCAGAAAACAAACATGTAGCTGGCCATTAAGACATAGATTTTGCTTCACTTAAGTACACACTCAAGCCACATCCAGAATAATACTAGGCTGAATGTGTTTTGGGAATATACTAATCTCCTACTTCATAATGATGATAGTGTTGTTTTATTTTGATCCTAATTGAAGCCAAAAGAATTGCTGCTCTGGTGTTTTGGAAGATGGTGGATCCAGGCCTTTCTTAATGAGACTTACCTGCAGAATGTTGTCTTTACTTAGTATCCTCTTGGCACAGCTGTAAAACTCATGTCTCATTTGTTCATTGTGCTGCTATGTTTCAGAATCTGTCCAAGAAGGACTTGTTCCTGTAGCATATTTATATCCTAGCTTGGATAAAACAGCTTTTGGTTTTGCCTTAGTGCCAAACTTGGATTGCCTGCTCAAAACACAGGACCACTGTGGTACCTTAAAGGCTAACAGGTTTATTTTGGCATGTTGTTCCATGGATTGGACTTCACTTTGTCAGGTGCCAGATTGTTATCCACAACTGGCAGATGACGACGACAAATTGCTATACTATTCAATAGGCAAAGGAAGCCTGGCAGTTCACAACAGTTCATAAGTATACATGTAATAATAGAAATACTTACAAATACAATAAAATACAGGACTAGATCTCAATATACAAAATTTAAACAGGTGCAACTGTACATGCAGCTGATGTGATACAGAGGTTTTGGCTACAGTCCTATAGGAGTTTATCGAAGGGTAAGCTCCACAAAGAAGTCAACATTCTGTTAATTGCAAATACATACTTCAGTCAACCACTCACATGACAACACATGGATATCACTAATTAGCCAATACAGAAATCAAATATACTATGTAAAAGGAAGTCTAAGTTGGAAAAGCTATATTCTCACTGCCAAAACAAGAACAAGAGCAGATTGCTCTACTGATTGAGATCTCTTAGTAACAAAAATCATAGTGAAGCTCAATGAGATCACTAACAGGATCATTGTGCCAAAAGCAACTTAAATAGCATTCCTGAGGAATTTAAAGTCCATGTAAAACCAAGTTGCATTACTGAACTCAATTGATAGTGAAACAGAAGAATTGTGGACTAAATGCTGTAGTAAGAAAAAAAAAAACTTGGAAACACTATTGATAAGGACAGGTAAGATGCAAAAGCAAAGGGTGATACAAAGAGGGTCAGAATCCTGAATGGAACTTTTCAGTGCAAAGAACTAGAAAAGAACAACAGAAAACAGACCATTTCTGGAAGATCTAAGAAATCAAGGGGAGATTCAAACTAGATTAAGAATGCTGAACAACCAGCAGGGGAACATACTAGTGGACAAGGAGAAAATAAAGTGAAGGTGGAAAGGCTATAGAAAAGAACTGCTCAGAAGAAATAAAAAGATGCAGAATTCTTTGATGTGCGGTCCTATGAGGAAGAGCCTGCAGTATTAGAACTGAAGTGAAAGCTGCTCTGAAAGCACTTCAAAGGAATAAAGCATTCGGTATATGTAGGGTACTGTTAGAACAATTTCAAGCTGCAGAGACCAAATCAATGCTAATCCTAACAAGCATATGCCAATGAATATGGAAAACAAAACTATGCCCCAGCACCTGGAAATGTTCAATTTATATTCCACTCCCCCTGCGAGTCCTTTGGACTGCAAGGCAATCAAACCGATCAGTCCTAGAGGAGATCAACCCTGACTGCCAGATACTGAAGATGAAACTCAAATACTTTGGCCACCTAATGAGAAGGAAGGACTCACTGGAGAAGAGCCTAATGCTGGGCACAATAGATGGCAAAAGAAAAAGGGGACGGCAGAGGATGAGGTGCTGGATCGAGTCAATGAGGCAGTTGGCATGAGCTTAAGCGGACTCTGGGGGATGATGGAGAACAGGAAGGCCTGGAGGAGTGTTGTCTATGGGGTTGCGAAGGGTCAGACACGACTTTGCGGCTAACAACAACAACCCCAAGGAAGGAGTTGCAAAGGACCATTGCCCTAATTTTACATGTTAGCAAAGTGATGTTTAAGATGTCGCAACAAAGACATTTACCCTGTATGGAGTGACAAATGCCTGACATTCATGCTGGATTCCAAAAGGGAAGACACTCAAGATTAATGCAACTATAAATTGGTTACTAGAGGGCACCAATTAATTTCAGATCGGTCTGTGCTTCGTAGACTACAGCAAAGCCTTTGACTTTGGATCACAAGTAGCTATGGATGGTGCTGATGTGTAACTTGTACTGTAGACAAGAAGCTACTGTTAGGGCAGAATATGGAGAAATGGAATGGTTTCCTATAGACAAAGGTGTCAGACAAGGCTGTATTTTATCTTCTTATCTGTTTATTCTGTACACAGAACATAAAAGGAAAGCTGGATTAGGGTCAGGGGAAGGAGTGAAAATAGGTGGAAGACACATCAATAATTTAAGATATGCAGATGATACCATATTACTGGCAGAAAACAGCAATAAATTGAAATTACTCTTGATAAAACTGAAGGAACAACGTGCCAAAGTAGGGCTGCAACTGAACATTAAGAAACAAAAATAGTGACTATGGAAAAATTGCCCAAATTTAATGTCAACAATAAAGAAATTGAAATAATGAAAGATTGTGCACATGCAGGTTCAATAATCAATTCAAAAGGAGACAGCAGCCAAGAAATTTGAAGAAGACTGTTGTTTTCCAAGACTCAAAGGAACTAAAAGAGATTATTAGCTGTAAAGGTATTTCAATGGATCAAGGCCAAGATAACACTATTGTATTCCTGATCACCATGCATAGGTAGGATAGCTGGACAATGAGGAAAGGTGACTTGCAAGATAATTGATACATTTGAAATATTGTGAAAGAGGAGAGTGTTGTGAATACCATGGACCAACAGAAAGTCATGCAAGTGGGTTCTAGATCAAAATAAGCTAGAACTTTCCTGGAAGCAAAAATAATGAAACTGAACCATGTGAAGGCAAGGGTTGCTGGTGAAGATAGTGATGCTAGGGAAAGTTTGCAAGTGCTGTCAAGGAAAAGACATTCTGGAGGGCATTCATTCATATAGTCACTATAAGTCAGAGACAGCTTGATAGTACATAACAACAGGCTCCAGGGAATGCAGTGGGGCTCACGTCACAGAAAATGTGTATAGGATTGCCTAGAAGAGACTGAGCTTCAAATCAGGAAGTCTCCAGTTCAAAACTTGCCTCTCCAGTGAATATACTAGATGACCTTGGGCAAGTGATGCTTTCTCAGCTTGGGACCTCATCTGCAATAAGTGGGGTACTGACTTAATTTGTAGGGTGGCTGTAAAGTGTATAACTAGAGAACACATGTGATGTGCTTTGAACAGTTAGAAGTGTGAGACAGAGGTTGGTGACTGCTATTCATGGAGTAGAATGGGAACATTGACAAGCCTGGACTCCCAATCTATTTCGTAAGTCTCCAGATCCGTTACCCATATTCCTGAGTGTCCAATGGTGGTAAAGGAAATGATTTAAAAATAGCTTATTTGTAGTGCAGGGGGTGATTTTCAAGTGGAATGCAACTGAGGTTGGGGGCATTACTTGCCCAATTTCTCCCCAGATGGCAACTGAACTTGAAAGAAACAATTCCACTGGGTTGGAATGAACTGAGGCAGGGTACAAATAAATTGATTAATTAATTTGAGATTATTTGGTTGAAATCAACCCACTGACTCTGCCTGCTATGAAATTCAAATATATCCTAGTACTTTTTCTATATTTTCATATACCGATATAAATCAGCATGTGCATGTTTTATCTAGATGGGTTCCTTACAGGCCAGAATCCTAAATTTGTTAAGTACCCACTAACAACCCTGGTACAGCAGAAAAACTGGTAGGTACATCTAAAAGGGCAAGCCAAAGGTCGCATATGCCTATAACTTCTTGAGATAACGTTAACATGTGCGCAAGGTGAGAACAGTCAACATTCCTAACAGAGATCAGTCACTGCTCTCAGCTTGTATACATTTGAGCTTAGCTGTTGTGTGTCATAGAGCTCTGCATTTTGTAGCCATTTGACTTTGCTTTTTACACCCTGCCCTTTTTTAATCTATGTATGTATATTTATCTGACAACTGAAGATCACATTTCAAGTGGCTGATGAAGACATGGATGTTTTTGGATGCTTACACCTCCAGAAATCTGTACATTTTTGAGGTCTGTTGCTTTGGCTACAACAGAAAATACTGCCTAATTCTAAAGGCGGACTTAGT